GTGTGCCCTGGAGCCGCACTGCCACGCAGGCGCACGGGCCCTGCTTAGCCCACCTCGTCTGACGCCACCAAAACCTCCTACAGTGCCAGGATCTGGGCAGCACGGACAGGCACCCAGACGTGCACAGGACCAGTGACCAGACGACACAAAGGTGACGGGAATCGTGTGCTGCGGAGCGAGGCGAAGCTTTATTGAGGACACGTGCGGTGCGAGAGGTCAGGGTCACCCTCACCCTCGCAGGCGGGAGAGGAAGGCAGGAGTTGGTTGGGGTCTCAAAGCTGAAGGTCCCTGAAGGCCGGGGGCGGGGCCAGGGCGAGATCTGACTTTGTGTGGGGGCCTCCTGTGCCCGTGCTGGGGGCGTGGGACCCACTCAGAGACGCTCCAGGCCGCCGACCGCCCTACACGGGCCGCACCTTCATCTCGGCCACCTTGTAGCTGTAGTAGCTCGACTGCGCTGACCACCAGTGGATGCCGTTCCCAGAGCCCCCACCATAGCGCCCATTCAGGTGGGACCAGTGGGAGCTGTGGAACCACCAGGCGCCCTGGTAAGTCTCAGCGTAGTTGGAGGAGGTCCCGTCGTTGTCCTGGTCTTTGGTGGTGAACAGGGAGTTGTTGTGTTGGGTCAGGGAGTCACCTGCCGGGAGAAGCGGGGCCGCTTACACTCAGTGCCAGGAGGTGACGGCACCAGGTCCGGCCGGAGCTGTCCAGCTGCGTGTCGTGCGCTACGAAGTCCGATGGTGCCGCGCACGCCAGCGAACGCTCGGTCGGCGGATCCCTGGCATCGGTATCCCCCTCTGCTCTGTGCCGCCAGCGAATGGGCACTGTGCCTGGTAGAGGGGAGGCCACTGCCCGAGACGTCCAGGTCCCTCGGGCCCCACGGGAGAGACGTGCGCAATGAGCGGTGCTACCCAGGCGTCCTGTCCACCTGCTCCAATGCGGGCGGTCAGGAGGGAGACGCTCAGGTCCTGCACTTTCTACCCGTGTGTCCCGCCCTGTCATGGGCGCATCCAGGTGGAGGCGGGTTATCCCAACGTGTGGATGGAGGAACGTGGTGAGGCCAAGGCCCCGCCCAGGCCCCAGGGACACAAAGCCAGGACCCACCCAGACGCTCTCCACTGCCCACTCACTGCCTCCTCCTCACTACCCAACCCCACTGCCCACTCACACAGCCCAACCCCCACTGCACGCACACCCACTGCCCACCCACTGCCCATCCTCTGCCTACCCCCACTGTACAACCCCCCACTGGCCACCCCCCCCTGGCCACTCCCACTGCTCACCCCACTGCCCATCCACCACTGCCACCCCACTGTCCACAGCCCAATGACCACCACCACTACCCAACCCCGACCACCCGGCCGACACTCACCGGCGCTGCCCCCGGCAAAGGCACCCAGGACCAGCTTGTACTTCTCATCCTTGCTCCCCAGCCTGAACGACTGGTACTTGGCAAAGTGGCGGGTGCCCTTGAAGTCTACCAGGTCCACACGGAGCTCGTTGGTGCCTGCGGGGGGCAGGGCCTCAGTCCCGGGAGCAGGGACCCTGAGCTGCCAGGACGTGGATAACGCTCAGGGGACCTGGCACTGGGCACCCAGGACGTTCCTCGAGGTCCCCCAGAACTTCCCGGTCGCTGAGGGTTGGGGCACATGTTCCCACAGTCCTGAACCAAACCCCCAGCCCTCCCTCCAGCCCCAGAGAGAAGGGGGTCCTTGGCGTTCGGTGGGAGGGGGTGTTGCCACAGCATTGCAGGAAGCGGCCGTCTCCCATGTGTGTTCAGGGACCGGGCACGGTAGGTGGTGAGGGAGGGCTGGGCGCTGGGCCGGACCCCAACGAGGGCCTCCGTGTCCCCCCCACCCCCGGTTGGACTCTGAGATGCCAGCACCCGTGACCGGAGGACGTCTGCCCCCAAACCCACTTCCTCTGGCCCTGACGCCCCCCCTCCCGCTGGGACCTTCCTGTCCTCAGAGGCGGCACGTGTGGGGGCGGAGGAGCGGGCTCCGTCCAGGTGGCCCAGGTCGGAAGTCTAGGCAGGTAGGTTTCGGGTCCCCACACCCAGGCCGCGGCCGGGGCCCTACCCTGGGCGGTCAGGGCGTGGATGTG